GAAATGCTCACACCAAAGATAATACTAATAGTTTGCTAGGCATCTTGGTAGCTTGGTATTTCTGTCTTGCCCAACTGCCTTAAGTACATCCAGAGGGACTAAGCAGCAAGAGTTCTTCGGCTTTTTGGATAGCTCTCTGGACAGTTTTCTTTTTCTTCCTTTTTGGGAGTCTTTCTTAAAGCAAGTTCTTCCAAAGCTAAAGTTGCCTGAATTTTAAGAGATGTTATTACATTTGCCCTGTGAAATTTCACCCTTCCAAATTCCCTGGATCATCACATTATCTTGAGCTCCTACCATCTATATGCACTTCTTGCTTCTCAATATATTTAGACTGCAGATTTATTTTTAGGTAGCAATTGTTTTAATATATATGCATTTATGCATACAGTGGGTAGCACAAACAGAACCACAATCCTCATCTAGGGCTTTTAGGTGTTGTTTAATATAATTCAATAACACCTGTTAATTAACAATTTAATAACGATAAAGGTAAGGAGTCACCAACAGTAGCCCAAAAATGGGGAACCATTGGTGATCAACCTACCATTTCAGTGTCTGAGCCAGTCTGTAATAATGCCAGTTGGGAATGCAAAACCCAGGGAAAATAGCTATTTTTATCATTTTATATTGCCAGGCCTCTGTTGACTGTTGCTATGGATATTGATTCTCCTATCTTTTTTCCCCATGATACTGACTGCAGCAGCTGTGCCCAAAAGGCCGCTGGTCTGTGCCCACATTACAAGGTGACTGCCTCAGCATTTCAAGTCGGAAGTAAAAAGAACAAGGAAAACATGTCTATGGACTCTGTATATTAGAGGGTGTTTACTAGTTTCAAGGGAAAAAGTGGTGTTTCCCAGTGAAAAAGCAGGACAAAACATGTACAGAGAGATATCTGATATGGGATACTGATTAGCACTAGCTGCCTGGAGAGTTAGAGAATTGTTCTGGAGCTTTATGATTAGGGTGTGATAGGCTTATGTGGAGAACCTGTATCCTGGAAACTCTTGCTTTCCCCATATCTGGCATTACAAAATATTGAAACTGGCCCTTAACTGGAATATTTTCACTTCACATACTCCCTTCTATGCCAGCCATTTAACCTCTCACCAGGAAAAAAAGAGAATATGAATACTATACATTACACAAGCACTGAAAGATTGATATATTAAACTTTTACTAAGCTTTGATATGTGGCTCTTTTTAACAAATCTTGGATGCAGTTTATTAACTAAGGTGTACCCTGCAGACCTTATGTATTTTGGTTGTAACTGAACGTTCATCTGCTGCTAACTGCATTTCCAGAAAATGGTGTCATAAGCCAAAGCTGCAGAGCATGCAGGGCTCACTGGACTAGCAGCTGGGATAATCATCCCTTTGGGGGTTTGCAGGTGAACTCTTCTGGAAATATATGGAGGGGGCAATAAGCCTGTATGCAGAGCGCACCATCTGTCAGTCCCTGCCCTTGCCCAGTGTTGTGCTCAGAGTGCATACATCACTCCTCTTGCTTTCTAGCATGTATTATGAAGTTCCAGAAAACTATTTATCATCTTGAAAACTATTTATCATTTTTTGGCAGCTGCCTTCATTTTTCTGAAAAAACTGCTTTGTAAATGGTTTTTAATAGAGAACATGCAGGATCCGAATGTTGCAGCTGGGGTCCCGATGCTGCAACAATAGCAGCACTTGCTAAATTCCAGGATCCCCTCGAGGGTATTATGTCAGTGACAGTTTTCTGTGGATCTCGCAAGATGCAGTAAGGAGACCTCTAGGATACTTTTTTCTAGTGGTGGAGCAAAACAGAAGCATGCCTGCACGATGACATTACAGGCACCTCTAAGCTAGTGCCTTATAAACAGGGTCACCTGCTGACAGGGGGGAACCAGACCTTGCCTTTCTTCATCCTTGGGCTGCCAGAAACACTTCATATGGCAGCACAAATGCCAAGCAAAGATGTAAATCTTCCTTGTTGTGCTACAAGTGCCCAAAATATGTGGCTGTGACAAAGGCGGAATCAATCTGGGCCGTTTCTGGCTTGTAATGTCTATTTGCCTCGCGGCGTAAGAGCCCGTGCTTTTCAGCCCCCCCGGGGGCCCGATTCTGTGCAGGATCAAGCCCCGGGAGCGCCCGCCCGGCTTTCCCCTCTGCTCGGGACAGCCTTGGGGGTCTGTCAGCGGGAAAACCTGAGGCTTCCTGCTCGCAGGGACGTGCCCCTGGCTCCGCGGAGCCCGGCTGGGCCGGGGCGAGCACCGCTTGCTCCCTCGGAGGGCTCCCGCGGGACACGGGCTGGAGGCGGCGGTGAAAGGACCGCC